TTGTTCCTGTAAGTGTTCCGGATCATTTTAACAGTGTTCGCTCTTTCACCTCAGTGCACTGCTTCTACAACACTCTTTTGCTGGTGGCAAACACTACTGATACACTCTTATAAAAGCCTCGTTAATTTTTTAATGTAACATCATTTTCCTTAAGCTTTGCACTACTTATATGCACGTGATCTTTTAAAATCAATATGTAATGTCTAACTGCCAATTTCTACTCTGTTCACCCCTGTCGCCTCAGTGAGGGCTTGTTTAAGATGGAAGGTGGCTATGATACTGGGAGAAAAGGCATCATTATACCTTTAATAAACAATATTTCCGACAGGAAAATGTGTCCTGAGTTGAATTTCATTTCTTTTGATTTAGGGCCCATCCAGTCTTATAAAACCAACTAATAAAATTCTCTGTGAAATACCATATAAAGTTATACTGGTTCATTCATCCTCACAAACTTGAGGACCCACACTGGGCCAGACACTAAGCTCAGTGACAAGTCACTTCTGATCTCTGAGGAAGAAAATGTACTCAGGGTACATTTTCTGAACCTGATGGTTCCATGTTAACATGGCACCATATTGTTTCCTACCTTTGTAATTTACAGGCTCTGGCCCTCACACCTTGTTTGTTTTTGGCAAGGAATATTCCAAATTCCTTTTTCTCTAGGGCATAGTCTCCTATTTCTCCATCACGTAAAGTGGTGAGCCTTCTAAAGCTCCAAAGTGATAGAGCTTACAAAGTTCTAAACCCTCAGAGCTCATCATTATACTGAGAAGAAGAGTCCAAATAAAAACTGGTCAATTAAGTCAACTTTTATTTAGGCATCAATATCATAAGACATTCCCATCCTACAATTTGAGAACACCAATACTAAGAGAAATAGAGCACTGGATACAGATAAATAACTCTTTTAGTAATCACCAAGCACTTGAAGACTTTAAAAACAGGCATAGGAAGGGAAGGGGAGGCCCAGCAGGTTTTATAAAAGGACCATAACAAGAACAATATCATTTCAATTCAGCATAGCAACCAAAGACTTCTTTTTCTGTCAATACTCAGAAAAAAATTTTTCTTTCTTATCATTTTTCAGTCAGCAATTAATACAAATATTTGTCTCCTCTCATCAGCTATCCAAGGAATATCTAATGATAATACTTTATAGCAATATCAGCTTAATTCTGGATAATTCAATTAAGCAGTACTGCTTAAATTGTCTCCTTTGAAGGAGATCAATTCAATGAAAATGAACGTTCTTGGCTGGTATAAGACACACACAAATGGGTCCCATTTAATAACAGTTAAAATCATTTTAACATTTCTGAAAATATTAAGTTCAAGAATTTCAAAATAAAACAATTTCTATACAGTACTTCTTATTAAGCAGTCTACTGGAATTGAATAACGAAATAATGTTCATTTTGGGAGATTCAAGGTTAATAACAACTTATAATGAAATCAGCCCCCCTCCAATTATTTTAATATTAGAAATAATAAAGACTGATCTACTTATATTAAAATATTATATACAAATAATAGTAAATGGTGAAAGTTTTTCAAGATGAAGTTTTAGCAAAAAGAAGGGAGGGATTGGTACTTCTAATAGAAACAGTAAATAAATGAGATTGTTAATAGTGTTAGCTTCAGGAAATAAGGGATAACTGATGAAATGAGGATGTTTTTATTGGTAATTATTGCTTCAATTATTTGAATTTTTCCACCAGAAGTCTAAAAATTTGTGGTTGAATATACAAAAGATTAATTACTTATGGACCACTTATAAGAGCAAAGTAAGACATCAAATGAGAATTCTGAAGTTACAGTCTCACTTCCAGGCTCGTGTAGGATATGCATCTCTTTTCAACTGTCCAATAAAAAAAAAAAATCAAGGAAAGTGTTAGAACTACAGACCAAAAACAAACAAACAAGTGCTAAGAGTCATTCCACATTTGCCTTATTCTAGAAACAATGCTCTCTGCCTCCTAAATGAAATCAGGGTTCTTCTTGTCCCTCTGTACATCAAAATAGTCATCTACTTGATTTTAAGGTAAACTATTTTCTACCAAAACTTGGTTTAATTGCTTTTTCACCACCAAAATCAACACCATAGTTAGGCTTTGGGAAACAAGAAGGGTGTAACTAGTAGCAATACCTGAAAGCTTATGGTTTGTAGAATTATAGTTTAAACTGCTATGATTTCAATTTTTGCTTGGGGAAAAAACAGTATATTTATCATTTTCCTGCTCTTGGCTCAAAAGGATTCTGAAAAATTAAAAAACACAAATTGAATAACCACTGAAATTTCAATAGTCTTAACCTTACCTGGTGTAAAATTAGATGTGCAGGTGTATCAACCTCTTAAGCACACTAACATTGTGCTTATTGATTGTATTGCACAGGCCATGAAGCCTGATGGTACCTGCCAGTCACCCAGTCTTCCACTGAGAAAGGAAGCCAGATGTCTTTAGTAAAAAGTCAGCCTACATTCTGGAGATGCAGGAATGAATCACAGATAGATGTAGGAGCTGAGAGCAGCCCAATAAGAACAGTCCAATTATGAGTGAGTAATTGATCTAACCCAATCCTCCCTCCTCGAGGAGGTATTTTTGACATTTGGCAGCATATTTACTCTACGAGTTACGATGCTAAGAATTATGGCAAGAAAGAGAAGCTGTTGCAGATCTCCTCTACCAAATTAGAGGAGGAACTGCTGCCTTGGAGGAACTGCTGAGACTGGTGACTGTAGTTGTTGCAGCACAGCCAGAGGTGGTCTGCTTACTAGACCCGATTAAAAGCACCACTGACACTTGGCACATAGCCAACAGTTTAGCTAATGCGTATTTCTGTTCCTGTCTGCCCAGAGTAGTAGATGGAATTTCTTTTCAGCTGGCAGGGAAAATAAAATAATTTTATTGTCTGACCTCAAAGATCTCTTGACTCTCTAGCTGTATGCCACAATCTAAGCTGCAGGAGTAGGCCAACTTACTTTAAGAAGGTACTATTTTTTCAGAAAATAGCTCCTGGCTGGCCACTAGGTTCTGACAGACAGCACATGTCTGACACCAAGGGAAACCATGTGACCATATCATTAACCCATCTGGACCAGTTTTATCTAATCTACATAATCACAGACATAGCATGCCTTCCACCAATAATGTGGTATGTCAACACAAGACTGGTCTTACGGAAGTCCCAAGGGCACAGAATACCTGAAAAGGCTAATCACAACCCCTACCCAGTAGGCCTTCACCTGATTCACTGCCTTATCCCTCAACCACAGTTATGTTTTCATGGAGGTATTCCCTATAATTCAGCTCATAAATCTGAGAGGCATGAGCTTGGTTCATTTGTAATAGTACTAGACAAAAGTAGACTGCTAAAGCATTATAGCCCCTTCAAGAATGGAACTGAAGGACGATACAGTACAGAAGAAACATATTCTGATTTGGCAGAATTTCAAGCAGTTGCTTTTATTGTCCATTACACCTTTCAGGAGGGAAAGCCTGAGGTCAGTTTTTATCAATTCTCGGACAGTGGCTAATGGTTTACCCAGATGGATGTAGATTTGAAATAAGCAAGAATGGAAGATTGCTAACAAGGAGATTTGCAGAAGGATAACGTAGATGGACCTCCAGAAAGGACATACATTTGTGTCCCATGTGAATTCTTACCAGAGTGCCCACAACCGCAGAAGTCTCTTAATAATCATGTGGACAGGATTGCATCTATGTCTTTCCATCCCAGTTTGGTGCTTGCTTAATGGGTTTATGAGGGACCACAGTGGCAGTGATAGAGGCTGCATAAGCCAGCTGCTATAAGAAGCTAATGGACTTTCCTTCCCTAAGGTGAATGTGGCTATCCGCTACTGGCCAGTGCCCACTTTGTCAGCAATATGGACCAATCCTAAGCCCTTGATTTGTTACCATACTTTGAGGGAACCAGTTAGTTACCTAACACCAGGCTAACTACTGGGACCTTTCTACTGTTGAAGGGACAATGCTCTGCTCTCACCAGAATTGATACTTATTCTAGATTTGGATTGGCCTGTGCTGTCTTTTGCACTTTTGACAACATCACCATATGTGTTTTTATAAATGCCTTGTATATCATCACCACAGTATTACATAGAATGCCTCCAAGGACCTACTTCACAGAGAAAGAAGTATCAGACAAGTATCCTGATGTCAACACATGCTCTGGACTCATCAGGTATCTATCATCAACCAATAATGGGACTACAAAATGATGAAAGAGACCATTATGTGCTTAGATTCAACACCAGCTATGGATACCACCTTATAAGGTTGGGGTGCTATCTTTCAGGATTGTGGTATTTGCTCTGCCCCAGCAATATACACTGTATCAGCAAAATACGGTATTAGCTCTCCCACAGCCAAAAAACACAGGTCTAAGAAACAAGGGGTAGAAATACGAGTGGATTCTCTCAAGATTATAACTAATAATCTATTAAAAAATTGTGTTTCTGGACCTATGACTCAGGCTCTACTTGCATAACATGCAATAGAAGACACATTCAAGTTGGTGATCATTTCGAGATGGTTGGATTAAAGGTAATTTTATCTTTTTTTGTCATTTTCTACATTTTCCAAATTTTCTAGAATGCCTTTGTGTTACTTTATATTAAAACATAATTACTCAAGAAAGAAAACACATCTAGCTCTGGAAGCAGATTTTCATTGAAAATGGCACATAAGAAAAGCAAGGAGTTGCTAACAAAACAAGGTAAGACAGGAGCACTAGCTTTCCATTTTCTTTGGGAGTGGTTACTATACAGTGCTCCTCAGCAATTACGGAAACATTTGAAACTAAGTCTCAATTTCCTTATCTGCAAAATGAAGATGATACTATATATCTCATAAGGTATGTGCAAGAACACCATAAACTGTAACATCTCTAAAGGCATGAGTTATTACTACTGGTGGTAGGTGAGTGTCTGTGTGCTCAGTGCTTTCAAAACCAGGACAAGAATAAAAATTAGTTACCTTTGGATTAAAATATCTACAAGACTGTGGCTGGGAGCCCCCAAATAGGGCTATGCGGTAGTCATGTTTCTTTCTTCTGGGCCTTGTGCCTTCCACCAGTTCTTCTCGATCTTCTGGAGACAGTAGATGATACCTCATTCCACCTGTAGAAAAATACATGGTAACTCTTCACGTAACTCTTCAAGAACTTCAGGCACTTTAACGTTTTGAAAGGGAAATACTCAGATATAATCATGCTTTTATTTCTGTCATCTCCCTATAGCATTCAAGGAAAGAGGGAAGGGAAAGAGGCAGGACAAACATAAGGACCTAAGTCTTATCCAATTTATTATTCTCAGCAATTACCACTATTCTAAGGTTGCCCCATCCACTTAGTATACACCAGTGAATTATCCTGCTCTTCAAGCAATAGCTGCCAAAATCATAATTATTGAAATCCAGATCTCCTAATCTAGTGGTTCTCAACCTTAACTGTACATTAGAATCACCTAGGAAATCTCTGCAACTATCTATACCGGGGCCCTACCACAGTCCAATTAAATCAAAATCTCTGGTGGTTGGGCCCAGGCTCTAGTATTGCCACTTAAAATGTGGTTCAAAGACCAGCATCTTCAGCATCGGAGAGTTTGTTAGAAATATTGAATCCTAGAACCTACCCTAGACCTACTGAATCAGAATCTGCATATTTAACAAGATCCCAAGATAATTTAGATGCTCATAAAACTTTGAGAAGTACTGTCTTAGACGATTCTAAAATGGAATGAAGATTCAGAACTATTGTGATCTAATGGGACCCTTTTCCCTCAGCAATTCCTTAATTTTGTCAAGGGCCACTTAACAAACACTGTTTTAAGGTATCATCTCCAATCAGTGTGGGAAAGGTGGATTTTTTCAATAAATGATGTTAGACAATGGTATAGAGAAAAAATTTGTACCCCTACTTCATATTTTACTCTAAATTCCAAATCAATAGAATATTTGAATATGCAAAAAATCTCAAAAATGTACTAAAAGAAAAATATGGTAGTTTCTTTTTTTTTAAAAATAGGCCCAGAATGGGGAAGCCTAAGAAAAGACACAACACACAGAAGCTGTGAAAAAGGTATTTAGACTTAAGTGCATAAAATTTTAAGTTAAATTACCACATGGCAAAAAGAAAAAACAAAATCAAAAGACAATGACAAAAAAGGAAAATATGTATTAATCATATAAAAGACAAATATAGGGGAGGGCCCGGTGGCGCAAGCAGTTAAGTATGCACACTCCACTGCGGCGGCCCGGGCTTTGCCGGTTCGGATCCTGGGCTGTGCACCAACGCACCGCTTGTCAAGCCATGCTGTGATGGCGTCCCATATAAAGAAGAGGAAGATGGGCATGGATGTTAGCCCAGGGCGAGTCTTCCTCAGCAAAAAAAAAAGAGGAGGATTGGGATGATAGCTCAGGGCTGAAATTCCTCACCAAAAAAAAAAAAAAAAAGACAAATATAAAAAGATGCCCTATTGCTTAATAATAACATTAAGACCAGCAATCTAACAGAAAATTAGATGAAGTATCTGAACACAGTTCACAGAAAAAGAACCTCAACAACTCCTAAACATATGAAAAGTTGCTCAAGTGCCCAAGTTAAAGAAACACAAATTAAAACCATACTTTTTTCACTTATCAGATTGGCCAAGCTCAAACTGTCTGGAACACAGTGTACGATAAAGTGTGGGTAAGCAGCACCCTCCTACATTGCTGGTGGGGATGTGGACAGGTACGAACTATCTGGAGGGCAATGCAGTGTGATCCATGAAAATGACAAATGCCCTTGAGCGCAGTGATGCCCCTTCTAGGAGTTGATCAACCTAAAGTCCACTGTCAGGGAAGTGGCTAAAAAACATGGCCATTAAGAAGAATGAGGGGGCCAGCTCTGTGGCCTAGTGGTTAAGTTTGGAGCACCCCACTTTCGTTCCCGGGCACGGAATTATACCACACGCCGCGGCCATGCCGTGGCAGTGACCCACATACAAAACAGAGGAACACTGGCACAGATGTTACCTCAGCAAAAAAAAAAAAAAAAAGAATGAGGAAGGATAATACAAACACTGGAATGATCTCCAAGAAATAATGTGGAATGAAAAAAAGCAAGTTGTAGAACAGTATACAGAGTGTGATATCATTTCTATTTTAAGAATTTATTTTTATGCATACCTATACATATTTCATATATAGTAAGTTATATATGGACATGCAAGTAAATGACTGTGTATGCACACACTCATGATTACCTCTGGAAGAACATACAATAATGGTAACCTCCAGCACAAGGGGATGAGGGGATAGCGAACAGCGGTATGAGAGAGACCTACTTTTCACTATATAGCCTTATATACATTTTTGAATTATACATGGTGTGCAGTACATATTATTGGCCCCAAAATAAAACAAACGATTCTAAACACATGCAAAAACACTTCTGTACACGAGGCTGTGTGGGGCCTTTATAAGAGGAATAGAGAGAGAAAACAGGTTTGGAGAACAGTCTGTGAGTGAATGAATATCAGTATTTAGCATTTCCTTTCATTTCAGAGTTTGAGTAGAAGCACTGGCATTAGAACAGCTAGAAGCCTCAGTGGTCAAGGCTCCAGCACATGTTCTAGGTCAGAGGTCAGCAACTTTTTCTGTAAAGGGCCAGACAGTAAATACTTTAGGCTCTGCAGGTCACATATGGCTTCTGTCACATATTCTTCACTCGTCTGTTTTTTACAATCCTTTACAAGTGTAAACACCACAGCTCAAGGCTGGCTTTAGCTGGTGGGGTGCAGTTTGCTGACCTCACCCCACTCCTCCTACTCTAAGACAGTGGTTCTCAAAGTGTGGTTCCCTGATGAGCAGCAGCAACATCACCTGGAGACTTGTTAGAAATCCATATTACTGGACACTACCCCAGACTTTCTGATTAGAAACTCTGGGGTTTGAGCGTCACTGTTCTAGAAGGTTCCACACAGGCCACAGGTGTACTGTGAAATCTAGGAACACAATAGCCCCAGCAAGTGAAGACAGGTGGCACGGAAGGAGACAGGAGGGAACTGCTTCCAGGCAACGAGCCACTGGGTAAAAGTGGCTGACTACAGCCAACTGTGCTGAGCTGGGGCTCCTTCACTGAGGGGTTTTTTCCTCTCTAAGGACAGGTCTGGGGACAAACACTCTAGCACCTTTCCTTGTGGAGCTCCTTGCTCCTTATGCTTATTCCTTTGGGAGTTATTCTTTTGAGAGTAAGGTATTCTCATTTGCAAATTTTGCATAAGAACTTGCCCTTGTAGTGACTTTGACTCTGTTCTTCATTTTTATTTTACAACTCATTTCCTTTTAGTTGTAAATTCTTTATTTTACTTTTATTCTATTTTTCTATCATCTTTTCTGTTTTTCTTCTACTTTCAAAATCTTTTCTGTTTTTCTTCTACTTTCAAAAGGCAGCACTAAGTCAGATGGTAGGAAGGTAACTGATGATCTGAAGGAGGGAGGCTGGAGGCCTTCTTTCCCCCTTTTAGCTCTGCCCAGGTCCAAAAGCCTGGAAGAGTCTCAGCTGTTTGCATTTAGTCAAGGAGTTAGAGAACTGACTGTTCTTTATTTTTTAAAAAAAGGAAAAGAAAAAAGGTAATAAGCCTGGTAAATCAAAAACTAAACAAAACTTCCTCCTCAAGAGCCTAATCCCCACACTTGGTTGAATTTCTGCAATAATCCTGTTATCCTGTTTCTAAATCAATTCAGAATCCACATAACTAAACACTATACTCTGAGACTGGGTAGTTGTCTTCAACAGCTCACAGCATGTATGAAGAAAGAGGTGCAGCTCTCTACCCAATGAAACTCGAAGGCCAGAAAAATAATACATAGTTTGGGAATGGAGACATAATAAAAAAAACCCTGATATTAGCATGTGTGAAATCCAAAAGATGAAACCCTTTATCTAATGGCAAATTCTTGGTCCCGATTCTTTTTCATCTCTCTGCACTTAAGAGGCTAGTGGCTACCAGTGGCTAAACTTCTTAAAACTCTCTCTACTCCTTGGTTTTCAAGACACCAGCTTCGTTTGAGTAGCTCTGTGAATTCTCCTTTCCTGGTTCTTTTCCTCCTTCCATCCCTTAAATGTAGATATTCATAAGGATATGTCCTTGACTCATACCCTCTTCTCTTTTTCCCTAGACAACCTTAACTATGTTCAAATACATCTAGTCTTTTTTTTTTTTTTTTGTGAGGAAGATTGGCCCTGAGCTAACATCTGCTGCCAATCCTCCACATTTTGCTAAGGAATATTGGCTCTCAGCTAACATCTGTGCCCAACTTCCTCTTTTTTGTATGTGGGATGCCGGCACAGCACGGCTTAATGAGTGGTGTGTCAGTCCATACCTGGCATTCAAACTCGTGAACCCCGGGCTGCTGAAGCGGAGCACGCAAACTTAACCACTATGCCACTGGGCTGGCCCCTAGTCTGGTATTTTTTAAATTTCATTCTTATTTAATTAAAAGGTATTATACCATACACTGTTTTATGCTTTTGCTGCTTACGAAAATTTTCCATATTACTAGACTTTCAACCAAAATATTTTTAGTAACTATAGAGCATTCTATTGTATGGATATATCACAATATTTTTCCAAACTAGGGGACAATATTGGGTCAATTTACCTAAAACCACAACATTATTAAGTAGTAGCTGTGTGATAAGTCTAATGGAAATTTTACTTAACTTCCAAATCAAGGAGCAAGAGACACTATTTAATAATTAGGACACTCAAACCTATTACCACTCTTGAGAAGGATATCTTAGGCAGGAGTGAAAGCGTTCATTTCTCTTTTATTTTCTTCCTTAACTTTGTGCCTGAAACCAACTACACCCTAAATGAAATGTCTAGATGAGGCACCAAAAACAACTTAAGGGTTCAAAGTAGGTTCAAACTCCCTTCTGGGGTAGGCTTTCTTATTCATCACATATAAATTAAAATCTGTACTGCTGCCCCTTTTATGGATACCGTCCATGTGGTTTTTGGTTTGATTAAGATGAATTCAAGAAGAGCCCAGGAGAGTTAGCAGGAGTGTATTTCACTAAGCATATCACAGTCATTACATATTTCATGCCTGTTTAAAAGACGATCTAAAC